GATGTAAATGACATTATTATGAGCATACAACACACTAGAGAGGGAGATGAGAACAAACCTTCACCGCTGTAGACTATAATGGACTCATCCAGATCAGAGCATGGTGCAGTCTATTAAAGTTACCTAGGGGTGAAAGGGTTATGTCTTTTTTTTGTGATATAAAAGAGCAATATTTAAAAGCAAAACATGTTTCTTTTTTTACTTTAACCCATTCACCCATAAAGTCACTTTTGAACCTTACCAAATCAAAGACTCGGAAAGTCCAGTTTAAAACTGAAGGGGTGAATGAATTAAGATGCGGACACCAGGGTTGTAATATCCAAAATGAAATATACTGAGGACAAAATTGTGAGAAAGATTGAGTTACTGGTAGACAGTATCTTGAATGAGTTTGGTTGAAAGATTTTCCAGCAGACTTAACCCTTTCCCCACTGTAGACCATAATGGACTCGTCCAGATCAATGTATGGTAGAGTCTTCTAAAGTTGCCTAGGGGTGAAAGGGTTAAGACATTTACTATGCCGCTCTTTTGGCCGATTTAGTTTTGTTTTCGTATGAAGCTGAATTAATGATGAGGTTGTTGTCGATGTTTTTGATTACGCTTGTTAGTGTGTCGCGTGGTTTTGTTGTCACAACCCAGGTTCTCGGTGTGAGGAGGTGCCGTTACACTTGTTGTCGGTGTGAGGAGGTGCCTTTACACTTGTTCTCGGTGTGAGGAGGTGCCTTTACACTTGTTCTCAGTGTGAGGAGGTGCCGTTACACTTGTTCTCGGTGGGAGGAGGTGCCGTTACACTTGTTCTCGGTGTGAGGAGGTGCCGTTACACTTGTTCTCGGTGTGAGGAGGTGCCGTTACACTTGTTCTCGGTGTGAGGAGGTGCCGTTACACTTGTTCTCGGTGTGAGGAGGTGCCGTTACACTTGTTCTCGGTGTGAGGAGGTGCCGTTACACTTGTTCTCGGTGTGAGGAGGTGCCGTTACACTTGTTCTCGGTGTGAGGAGGTGCCGTTACACTTGTTCTCGGTGTGAGGAGGTGCCGTTACACTTGTTCTCGGTGTGAGGAGGTGCCGTTACACTTGTTCTCGGTGTGAGGAGGTGCCGTTACACTTGTTCTCGGTGTGAGGAGGTGCCGTTACACTTGTTCTCGGTGTGAGGAGGTGCCGTTACACTTGTTCTCGGTGTGAGGAGGTGCCGTTACACTTGTTCTCGGTGTGAGGAGGTGCCGTTACACTTGTTCTCGGTGTGAGGAGGTGCCGTTACACTTGTTCTCGGTGTGAGGAGGTGCCGTTACACTTGTTCTCGGTGTGAGGAGGTGCCGTTACACTTGTTCTCGGTGTGAGGAGGTGCCGTTACACTTGTTCTCGGTGTGAGGAGGTGCCGTTACACTTGTTCTCGGTGTGAGGAGGTGCCGTTACACTTGTTCTCGGTGTGAGGAGGTGCCGTTACACTTGTTCTCGGTGTGAGGAGGTGCCGTTACACTTGTTCTCGGTGTGAGGAGGTGCCGTTACACTTGTTCTCGGTGTGAGGAGGTGCCGTTACACTTGTTCTCGGTGTGAGGAGGTGCCGTTACACTTGTTCTCGGTGTGAGGAGGTGCCGTTACACTTGTTCTCGGTGTGAGGAGGTGCCGTTACACTTGTTCTCGGTGTGAGGAGGTGCCGTTACACTTGTTCTCGGTGTGAGGAGGTGCCGTTACACTTGTTCTCGGTGTGAGGAGGTGCCGTTACACTTGTTCTCGGTGTGAGGAGGTGCCGTTACACTTGTTCTCGGTGTGAGGAGGTGCCGTTACACTTGTTCTCGGTGTGAGGAGGTGCCGTTACACTTGTTCTCGGTGTGAGGAGGTGCCGTTACACTTGTTCTCGGTGTGAGGAGGTGCCGTTACACTTGTTCTCGGTGTGAGGAGGTGCCGTTACACTTGTTCTCGGTGTGAGGAGGTGCCGTTACACTTGTTCTCGGTGTGAGGAGGTGCCGTTACACTTGTTCTCGGTGTGAGGAGGTGCCGTTACACTTGTTCTCGGTGTGAGGAGGTGCCGTTACACTTGTTCTCGGTGTGAGGAGGTGCCGTTACACTTGTTCTCGGTGTGAGGAGGTGCCGTTACACTTGTTCTCGGTGTGAGGAGGTGCCGTTACACTTGTTCTCGGTGTGAGGAGGTGCCGTTACACTTGTTCTCGGTGTGAGGAGGTGCCGTTACACTTGTTCTCGGTGTGAGGAGGTGCCGTTACACTTGTTCTCGGTGTGAGGAGGTGCCGTTACACTTGTTCTCGGTGTGAGGAGGTGCCGTTACACTTGTTCTCGGTGTGAGGAGGTGCCGTTACACTTGTTCTCGGTGTGAGGAGGTGCCGTTACACTTGTTCTCGGTGTGAGGAGGTGCCGTTACACTTGTTCTCGGTGTGAGGAGGTGCCGTTACACTTGTTCTCGGTGTGAGGAGGTGCCGTTACACTTGTTCTCGGTGTGAGGAGGTGCCGTTACACTTGTTCTCGGTGTGAGGAGGTGCCGTTACACTTGTTCTCGGTGTGAGGAGGTGCCGTTACACTTGTTCTCGGTGTGAGGAGGTGCCGTTACACTTGTTCTCGGTGTGAGGAGGTGCCGTTACACTTGTTCTCGGTGTGAGGAGGTGCCGTTACACTTGTTCTCGGTGTGAGGAGGTGCCGTTACACTTGTTCTCGGTGTGAGGAGGTGCCGTTACACTTGTTCTCGGTGTGAGGAGGTGCCGTTACACTTGTTCTCGGTGTGAGGAGGTGCCGTTACACTTGTTCTCGGTGTGAGGAGGTGCCGTTACACTTGTTCTCGGTGTGAGGAGGTGCCGTTACACTTGTTCTCGGTGTGAGGAGGTGCCGTTACACTTGTTCTCGGTGTGAGGAGGTGCCGTTACACTTGTTCTCGGTGTGAGGAGGTGCCGTTACACTTGTTCTCGGTGTGAGGAGGTGCCGTTACACTTGTTCTCGGTGTGAGGAGGTGCCGTTACACTTGTTCTCAGTGTGAGGAGGTGCCGTTACACTTGTTCTCAGTGTGAGGAGGTGCCGTTACACTTGTTCTCGGTGTGAGGAGGTGCCGTTACACTTGTTCTCGGTGTGAGGAGGTGCCGTTACACTTGTTCTACATCACCTTTTTCTCGCAATACTGTGTAACACGAAATTTTCATGGGTACTTTCCTTTGTGGTTTGAAGCTATTTACATCGTTACGTGGTACACACTTTTGTGGATATCCTATAGTAACAATCAGTAGACACGTATATCATTCAAATTCGTTGTAGTTATTATCGTGGTTCAATTGAAACCACGAAAACCACAATGTTTATACACAACGAACATTTCATGTTATACAGTATATCCTGTTTCAACAATTTCTCTTAAACTTCCAAGTGACACAAATGGCTCGCTTTAGTCATTTAATTTCCTGACAATAAACACAAATTTTCTCATTTTCCTACAATCTTTCACACTTTGTTTGAATCGCGTTTCTGTAACCTTAGCTTGCTATATAACCTGCTTAACCGCCATTTCTCAGGTCACATTTTCCAGCGACACGTCATAATTTATCTGCAAACTTCTTTTATCAATTTTCTACACTCATTTCTCTGCCCTCTTTGGAGAAATTTACCCAGCATTACCCTCATTTATGGAACCTTTTCTAGCGAAAAATTCCACTATATTAACACTTCTCTGTCACATATGCTAACTAATTATCCAAAATCACTCTCTCTTCTGAAAAATCCTCGAGCAAAATACTGATTCACCCTCATTTCTGCAAACTTTTCTGTCGTAAATAATGGGCCTGAATCTTTCATCTGGCATTGATCTCACAGCGGTAACCTTCAAAGTAGTTCTTGAGACATAAGCTCACTTGGCCCTTCAAGCCAGCTGAACTTAACCCATTCACCCCTCAAGGCATAACAATGTAGGGGTGAAGGAGTTAAAACATTGCTTTTTGGCCGGATTGCAACACAATCAGGTCTTATAGATTGGCGGCTCCCATCCGTCTGTGTGTCTATCCATCTGTCTGCACTAAGGTTAAGAAGAATGGTTAAGCTCAGTTTCTAAGTTATCAATTGTCCCACACCAACTAAACTTGCATGGCTTATGTATCTAAGGATGCTAATCACATGCGATGCTTCAGATGCTGCTTCCGAACTACATTTTCGGCTTCACTAACCAGGTTAAGAAGATTGGTTGAGGTCAGGCTTCATCTGCAGGTCACTTACCAAATACATGTAACTATTTATCTTACATCAACTAAACTTGATTGGGTTATGTATTCAAGGATGCTTATCACATGCGATGCTTCAGACCAACATTTTTCTCTTCAGTGACCAGGTTAAGTAGTTTGATTAAGGTCAGTTACTAAGTAACTACTTGTTGTACATCAACTAAACTTGCATGGCTTCTGTATCTAAGGATGCTCATCACATGCGATGGTTGGGATGCTGGTTCTGACCTACATTTTCCGCTTGACTGACCAGGTTAAGAAGATTGGTTGTGGTCAGGCCCCATCTGCACTATGGTTAAGAAGATTGGTTTAGGTCACTTACCAGGTACATGTAACTACTTATCCTACATCAACTAAACTTGCATGGCTGTATCTTAAAGGATGCCCATCACATGTGATGCTTTACATGAGAATGTACTCACTCACTCACAGTAGCAATCCGGCGAAATCGCCATTGGCGGTTTCTTGTCTCTAATTTCCGTTACATTTCTTAGTGATAATCCATGTTTTACCTTCATTTCTGTTTCCCTTCTCTAATTTTTGGCGTAAGCTGATTATATTTGTTAGTAGTAAAATGTGCGAGTACCAAAATAGTCGAGGAACTGTTGATCTTATATAACAGTGCAAGGGAAGGAACTCTTGTATTGACACTACCAACAGTTACTTCCCTTTGTGAGAACTTTTGTTCTCTAGAAGGTTGTTTGTATACATTTGTGAAATAAAATGGCGGGAAGACAGAATTGGTGCTTGGGAGATCATTCAAGAGTGTTTTAACAGGAACAACAAGACTAACACATATTCTGATGGAATTAGCACGATTTTATTAATGGAATGTTTTACATAACATATTGCATAGAACCAATGCCACAAATAATTCAACATCGGAACGGCAACCGTCACGATTGACTCTGGGTCCAGCAGCTGGAGCACAGAGGTCCAGCAACTGGAGCAGAGGGGCAGCCTCTTTGTGGACTGGATTAAACCAAATACATCTTCAACACCAATCTCTACCCAGATGTGTCGCTCCTTACACTCACCAACAATGCTAGGAACAACGACTGGCTAGAAATTGCTTGAATAAACAGCTAGTCCTTGCCAAACCTGCTGAATAATTTCCCCCAACACACAAGCCTTACAGACATTGATGTAAAAGCGGACAGTTACACACCGTAATTTTTTTTAAATATATTATTTCTGAGTAAACAATAAGAACTATAATTGAGTATATGGTGTGAATATCAAAAAGAAAAGAAATCATCCAAAAAGGGAGAAAACCCTTGAACTCATTCACCCCTGAAGACACATTTGAACTCTTCCAATTTACGGGTTGGAAAAGTCCATTATGAAATTTTAAGGGGTGAATGAGTTAATATATATTGTGCGAGTGTGGCGGGGTAAATCCCAGGAGATGTCGAGGACTTGGATGTGGCACTGGTACAAATATTTGGCCCGTATATCTTACAGGCATCTACACATCATACAGAAATAGCAAAAACACAGTGATAGGCTAGCATCGGTGATGGGACCAGTGTACCGGGTACAGACGGCAGGGCTGACGATCTACTGACTGTACCGGGAACAGACAACAGGGCTGACAATTAACTGACTGTACCGGGAACAGACAACAGGGCTGACGATTTACTGACTGTACCGGGAACAGACAACAGGGCTGCCGATCTACTGACTGTACCGGGAACAGACAACAGGGCTGACGATTAACCGACTGTACCGGGAACAGACAACAGGGCTGACAATCTACTGGGTACAGCGATCAAGTGGGCTGATGATCTATGGAGTTTACTGGATAGACAGCAAAGCAAAGGATCTTCAGACTGTACAGAGTACAGGCTACAAGGCTGAATCATGTCAGGTACAGAATACAAGTTAAAATAAAGGAAGTAAGACCAGCAGGTCACCGGATTGTACCGAGTACAGACTTCAGGACAACAGTCCCCAGGCTGGCTTGTCAACACAAATATAAGTATACATTGTATGTACAGTACCATTTAACAGTCTCAGCCATACTGTTTATACCCAGACAGTTTCAAATGTAAGCTGATTGGAAATTCTTCTGTCTCGCATATCCTGATAATGATCACACTTCAAAACAATATTCAAAATCAACCCTATACTTACTGTATACAGATAGTTGCTGGTAATTTTTCAGAATTTATTATAATCATTTTCCCCCCATAAATTAAATGAATTCATGAATAACATGATCAATCATCAAAAATACCCCAAATTGTGCTTTCCATGTCATTATAACTTGCTCTAAAGACCATCTGTCCATAAAGAATATCTCTATAAAGACCACCTGTCTATACAGAATATCTCTCTATAAAGACCACCTGTCTATAATGTAAGGAACGCCCACCTCAATTACTGTATAAAGAAGACACGGGCCCATATTCATAATTGTTCTTAAGCTCAAGCATGGAATCTTTGCTCAAACAAACTTTTGTCAAAAGTTATTTAAATCATTTAAAAAAGTAAATAGTCGACCTTTATAACCATATTCTGCTTGAAGTTTCTCCAAAAATTATTCCAAATCACGGACAATGTGATTTATTACCAATTTATCACTGTAACAAGAACACAGAATCTGAGTTTGAGCATGAGAATGGTTTCATGAATTTGGGCCCCAAAATGGTATTTTCTATATCTAAACCTTTGCTTTAAAGACCACCTGTTTATAATGATGCTTTTCATTCTCTCATAATGATGATATTTGCAGACAGGGTTCAAATTTTGTCAAAACAGCTCAGTACATTGTACTTATCCTGTAGTTTTACTAGCCATCAAATAAACAATGCATGGATAGAAACATATACCGGTAAAAGTCAATCACTGTGATTGAAACATGCAATTATTAAACACAATTCACCCCAAAAAGTCACATTTGAACCTTGCCAAATCAAAGACTGGTCAAGTCCAGTTTGAAAATGTAGGGGTGCATGAGTTAAACACAATTTCATAAATATTTGTATCTCTCTTGGTACATTTATATATATACATGTTGTATGTGCAGTAATTGCAAGTAAAACAATATGATAGCAGAGACTGATCCATAGGGCTTGTGTTAGATGGGGTTTAGGATAGACCCGCCCCCTTAATTCTACATGTTAATTTTCTAAAATCAAAAAAATATTTTTCACAAAATTTTCTCAAAATTTCTAAGACATGGAAAACTTCTCAGGATGAATCTCTGAATATCAGCCACTGAATATTTATATTGAAATATTGCTTTCATATAGTGACCTATAGCATCACATGAGGTTACAGGCAAACAGGGAAATGAGTGTTTATGATGAGTTTTTACACGATGACGCGATTTTATTTTGTTTTGCACAATAACATTATATCCTGTACATATAGACTCGCTTCCATCAAAGATTTTCAAAAAACAAAAACAAATGACATGTATAGGAAAAATAAACTTTTATGTCAATGACAGATCTGTGATCTCCCTCTTTGGAGTCCTCTGTTCTCTGGTTAATAGCGCTCTCTCACATCAGTTACACAGCCAACGCCCACAACACTAGGCCACGCCCCTCACATCAATCAAACAGCCAACGCCCACAACATTAGGCCACGCCCCTCACATCAATTAAAACAGCCAACGCCCACAACATCGGGCCACGCCTCTCCAATCATACACACTTGCCTAATGTCAATAAACCATGCCTATTTCACAGACAAGCCTAACGTCAGCAGGCCACGCCCCTCAGACCTTTCTTCACTTACATCTTCAAAAGTGTAACCTGATGTCAACAGACTATGCCTTTTTCACAGACAAGCCTAACATCAGCAGGCTGCGCCCTCCGCATCAATTTCACAGCCAATGCCGACAACATTAGGCCATGTCTGCAGGCCAAATCACTTAACGGACAGCCACACCCATTATGTTACGGTTGACTGTGCCTCGTTCATAGAACAGTCACGCCCACGATCTTTAGACTACAGTATGTACGTACCTCTCCCACCCATCCATACCTAAGTGGCCTACTATGTAAGGTCTTGTTTAAAACTCTAATAACGACAGGCCATGCCTCCCCTAAAACACAGATACCCCAAAGTCACATTTCATTAAATACAGACACTCTCTGAGGCAAAAATAGCCCTATCTAAACAGACGTGTTCAGAGACCAGAAATTCCATCGTGACTTGTACTGTCGGAATTGCACCTTCACATGGCAACACCTTACCATCAAAATCGTACCATTTCGTCAATATTAATTATATATACCATTCCAACAATATATAAAAATAAGTCATAATTAAACCCAGTAATTTCTCATTTTTGGAAAATGTAATTAAAGATATATACGGGGAAAGCTAAGGATCTGCTAGGTATAGGTCATACCAGACATTGACTTCAGTTGTTTCCCCGGACTTTAACATGGCAAAGCACTTATCAGATTAGTCATTACTGTACCACATCTGTGATAAATTGGTGTTCATGAATAAGCCCACCCCAATACTGGCGATCAATATACCGGTCGTGTAAAACCTTTAGGTTCATGATAAGGGAAGTCAATGGATACCAAATTTCCCCTAAATTCCAAACGAACCATTTCAAAAACTCCTTCGTAAACAAAAATTATCACCAGTTAAAAACGACAAGTGTTTTCGTTGACAAAAAATATATTTCCACTATGTTGAACAAAATTTCACTGTTTGCAATGATTAAATATGTTTACTATTCATTGCAAATTCTTTAAATTTGTGAACAGATTTTCTCTCTAACAATTTATTCGCCCTCATTACGCGAAAATGGTGAAAATTAAGCTGCAGCAAAGATTTTCCCGTATACAGTATCTAATACGGAAGACACCAGTGGAGGTTTCTTAATGGTTCCTTAAATGGCACATTTATTTTTTTTTCACCATAAAAAGTTACAAAATACAACACAGTAAGAAAAAAAAATTAACCCAGCTCAAACATTTGATGATTCCAGACTAAAACTACAGTCACATCTTCTTGTATAAAGTTAAAGCGCCTTAGCAAGCGATAAGTAAACTTTGTAGATTATGTAGGGTGGTAAACAGTCGAAGCTGTGTGAGACCACATTCAAGACTCTCCATCGCAGTAATTTTCGTGTCAACGTCCCATTAACAGCTACGGTCATTTAAAGACGTGTCAGGTTTTGGTGGTGGAGGGAAGCCGGAGTGCTCAGAGAAAATCCACCGACCTGCAAACAGTACCTGGTGACCGCTCCCTTGTGGGCCTTGAACCCGCGACACAGTGGTGGAGGGCTAGTGATTTAATATAGACGGTCATATACTTTGACCACTTGGGAACCCATTATAGAATATATAAGGTGTCTAAATAATTGAAAAATTATCCCCACATAGCCTCAACTTTGGAAGGGAAACTAGTCAGCCAAATAAAGAATAATTTACTTGTGATCCTTTGAGCATGCCACACGACCGTCATCCAGATCTCTTCCTGTTTTGAGATTCAGGTTTTTCATGTTAATAGAACGAAGTGTGACTATAGTTTCGTGTGGACAATAAACAAAAAAACAAAGATCTATCATATACCATCTCTCAGAAGAGACATACATAGAGTAAATATAAACAGTAAATATAAACAAATGCACAAAAGGTAAATATAAACAAACAGACAGGTGATATGATCCATGATAAATAAATCGCAAAAATCACTAAAGGAACATAATGATAATCTTCAATTTCGTGAAACTGATCCTATGGCAAAAGAAATAATTCTCACCATTATTCTTCAACGAAAACATCTACCAACATCAGTACATATTAATAAAGCATAATATTTCAGATCAAGATCATTGTATCAACAGAATTAAAATGACAAAATAAAACAAACAGATCAATTTCAAATCTCTGTACTCCCAGGGGATCCAACATTCAAATCGCCACAATAATCTAAGGGGAGACAACCCACGTTAAGGACGTAACCATTTCGGGAAGACAATCCATAGAAGGGAGACAACCCATATTTTCAGATCAACAAGCTAACCAGTGAGAAGCAACACATGGTCACGTAAGTTCTGATGCAGCTTCCAGCTCAAGTATTCTTGCAATTTTAATGTTTTGAATAAAACTTGGGAAATTTCTTTTGAATGATTAAATCAGTGAATTGTCTCCCCTTGGCAACTTACGTAAAACATTATCAAATAATAGTCCTCCAAAACAAAAACACGCTAGTTCATAGTAAGTTTGACCCTTGACCCGAGGGAGGAGAAAAGGTTGTGATATGTACGTAATCTTACACTCAGGAACCGTTTTAAGAATATCACAAAGTTCACATTTTATCTTTCACTCTCGACCATTAATTTTTTGTATTCACATCAGTTTTTCGTGTCACAGTCACACTCCAAACTATAGATATAACCTCCGCGTTGAAGAGATGCTGGAATCTAAATAATGGACACCCTTAACACTTTTATCTCCACCCATTCAGGAACCTTGTTGATCTGACTTTTCAGATTTAAAGCCAACTTCCGAAAAAAATATAATGCAACATCGACCCCATAAATCGGAAAAAAGTCTTAACTGAAAGTTGTTTTGAAGAAACATGAGCCCCAACAAACAATGTTTTGCGGTCGTTTTAAAAAATTCCTATAGGGCAGGTTCCTGTAAACAGATATGTCCTGACTAACAAGGTTCCTTTCTACAGATTCCTGACTGTTAGAGAGGGACTGTATATTATGCTTGAGGCACTGGGCATGGCGCACCAGCACCAGGCGTTAGCTAATCTCAGAATGACAATTCGAACCAAGAACACCCAACATGAATCTGTCCAAGAATATCCAATTTTACACATGTAGCTGTCCAAGGACACGACTCCTCTTGTCAAAGATCCCCAAATTGCAAACATTTTGTAATGTATACAACAAATATCCTGTATAACATGTCAGATCTAGACTTAGTTATTCCACAGTAAAAGAATATTTTCAGAAAGATATCAACAGAATGTGAAGTTTCCATGTGACACCATTTGCAAAGGTTTTTTTATAACTCTTTCCCATCTTACGGTCATTTTCCGAGAACTCTGCAGAGCAAATTTCAGAAGAGATGCCTTCTGGTGCAAAAATTTTGCCTAGTTTTGCCATTTATATTATAAGAAACATATTGAAAGACTTGAATAGTACTTCGCACTCACAAAAATATTTTTTCTCTAGTAATTCGGCATAACTTGGCATTAAAATAACCAATTATTCATAAAATTCAGATATATGTATATCTGAAAATGTTCGGGAAAGGACTAAATAAAACCTTGCCAAATATCAATGACTTTTTCTCAAGTTCTATAATGTTTGTGTTAAATTGTCGTAAAGCAAATAAACTTTGGTAAACGAGAACAAATGAATGCGAATGGCAACCACAAAAGTGACTGATGTCCTACTGATGGTAAAATCTTTCGACGCGTTTGACGTCGGTAGAGGAGACAAATATCCAGCCTAATCTCCCGAGAAACGAAACGTCTGATGATAGCAATATTTGGATTTGTTCTAGGGTTCGACTATTCAGCAACCAGATCATGCCACAACCAGCGGTTCATCATCGGAGAAGCCTTGAATCATCGGGGAGTCTTCGTCCTCACCTGTGTAAAGTTATACAAATAAGAAAAGTTTGGTTGAAATTCACTTGTATCACACATATATTTCGAATGGTCAAAATACCTACCCCTGATTTCTGTTGAGAGTTATTTCCCTTTAACTAATTCACCCTTGAAGACAGATTTGAATTCTTCCAATTCAAATGTTGGAATAGTTCTTTATGAAACAGGGGTCAATGAGTTAAAAGATGAAGAACTGGCTTTATGTTTCTACTGCTTAACCCTTTCAACCCTATGCAACTTCAGTAGACTCTCCCAATTCATTGATCGGGATGAGTCTATTATGGTCTACAGTGGTGAAAGGGTTAATATTTCATACTCATTTTTGTGTTTACTGTAGAATTAAGAACATTTGGTTAGGTCGATTTTTTGTAACATGGACAAAAACTAATGATACCAACCTCAGACTTTGTTCTTGGTTAATATATCTCCATCAGGTTCATATAACAAAATATCAACCTCATCAAATGTCCATCACTGATAAATATCTGCCATTTCACTTAATTTGGACTTTTTCAAGAAAAATATTTATTTCACTTACAAATATGATTTTATTTTAATGCCACACAAATGAAATTTAGACAAAGTTGTCTGAATATATCCAGACCTGTTGGTAAGTTAAATCTGACTTACCAAGCTCATTGGCGGAGGAGAAGGTGGTTGTTCCCGACCGTGTGTCGTAGTGGCTGTTGGCGAAGGACAGGAAGCTACGCTGTAGACGATGATGGCGTACAATGAAAACACCGAGAACAACAACGAGGGCGACAACAATGACGGCCACGACAACAAATATCCCGATCAGGTTCTTTTTAGACAGGGCCACAGACGCCTGATTGACTGGGAGGTTCAGCACTCCTGGAACACAAAAGTCACATGAAGATCATATTAAATGAAGGGTGTATTTGGTTTAGTTTTTCTTAGCGCCCTATTAAAGCTAAGGTCATTTAAGGATGTGCCTCCAAGTGTGTAGTGTATGCGTGATTGTGTGCAGGAGACAGGGTATGTTGGTGTACTTTCCTCCTTGTGATAGAGCGGATCTGATGCCGACTTTATAGTGCTATCTCACTGAAATACCAAGCCGAAGGCATCCAGTGCAGCATTCAGTCTGGTCACATCATACTGACAACGGGTGAACCAGTTATTACCATTACCCTAACTGCTGAACGCTAAACAGGGAATATCAACTGCCATTTTTAAGAACTTTGGTATGTCCCGGCCAGGGAACAGAACCCACTGCCTTCCTCACATGGGCGATCGCTCAACATTCAAACCGAAAGTGAGGTATTGCCAAGCAAGGTGCTAGGAAATGAAAGGTAGTTAGAAGTAGAGAGAAACAAAGATCGTAACTTTTGCAATTGGTGATCGATGTAGTAGCTTGGGGGGAAATAATAAATGGGGAGTACAAAAAGAGTGGACAAGTGGAACCGACAGTAGTGGTCTAATGTATATATTAGGTGTAACCCGGTGTTTATTAGATATAACCCAGTGCTTATTAGGTGTACCCTATTGTTTATTAGGTGTAACCCATTGTTTATTAGGTGTAACCCTGTGTTTATTAGGTGTACCCTATTGTTTATTAGGTGTACCCTATTGTTTATTAGGTGTAACCCGTTGTTTATTAGGTGTAACCTAGTGTTTATTAGGTGTAACCCAGTGTTTATAAGGTGTAACCCGGTGTTTATTAGGTGTAACCCAGTATTTATCAGGTGTAACCCGGTGTTTGTTAGGTGTAACCCGGTGTTTATTAGGTGTAACCCTGTGTTTATTAGGTGTAACCCTGTGTTTGTAAGGTGTAACCCAGTGTTTATTAGGTGTAACCCTGTGTTTATTAGGCGTAACCCTGTGTTTATTAGGTGTAACCCAGTGTTTATTAGGCGTAACCCTGTGTTTATTAGGTGTAACCCGTTATTTATTAGGTGTAACCCAGTGTTTATTGGGTGTAACCCATTGTTTATTAGGTGTAACCCTGTGTTTATCAGGTGTAACCCGGTGTTTATTAGGTGTAACCCAGTGTTTATTAGGTGTAACCAAGTGTTTATTAGGTGTAACCTTGTGTTTATTAGGTGTAACCTTGTGTTTATTAGGTGTAACCCAGTGTTTATTAGGTGTAACCCAGTGTTTATTAGGTGTAACCCATTGTTTATTAGGTGTAACCCGGTGTTTATCAGGTGTAACCCGGTGTTTATCAGGTGTAACCCGGTGTTTATTAGGTGTAACCCTGTGTTTATTAGGAGTAACCCTGTGTTTATTAGGTGTAACCCGGTGTTTATTAGGTGTAACCCGGTGTTTATTATATATTTACATGAAAGTACATGTTGGCGAAGGCATTGATTGTGTTGGGGTGTTGGCGTACTCGTTTTGTGTGTTGCATGTTCTGTATTAACTCGATTGGTCAGAGTTGACCATTCAACTTAAATTTTAAATCAACTCTTGTCGGACACACAACTCGGGACACTCTATGGAGTAAGATGTACCAGTACATTTACGTCTGGACGATCGATATAAACTTCAGACTTCCATTGGAAGTAGTTTTTCTACAGCACCCTGGTTCTTTCGAACACCCCACGATAAACCAATTGAGAAACCGAACGCGAGAGAAGAGTGTTGTGTGAAATAGGTATAAAAACACTGACCTGATGCTGCGACCTCGACCGGCTCTGTAAACTCGCCCGGGTAGTGGTTGACTGCGGCATAGCGTACTTTGAAGAGATATTCGTAAGTGCCGTCCAGGGCTATCTCCATGAACATAGCCGTAGTTGTTTGATGGAATGTAAACTTTTCTTTTTGACTGTGATCCACAATGCCGTTAGCATCTATGTGGTGGTGTCGACTGTAGAACACGTCATACCCCTGTAGGAAGTACAAGTATACATATGGAATAAATACATAGGTGATAATTAAACAGGTAGTATTGGATACAGTTAATATCTTTACAGGTAATATAAGATACAGTTAATATCTTTACAGGTAATATAAGATGAAGGTGATATATTATACAGGTGATATAAAATACAGGTGATATTACATACAGTACATTACCATACAGGTAATTAGACATACAAGTTATATAACATACAGGTAGTATAATAAAAGTTTCGAGGTATACAGAATAGGCCCTCTGGAATTTAATGTGACCCCACAGTTTTACAACAGGTACTATACAGATAATTTACAGGTGATTAACGATACAGATAATACAGAGATTGCCTTCACATAAACACAAGTAAATACACAGATATACACATCAAATTGCGGGTAATAGGAGGCACGGTAGTCTAGTGTTAGGATGCTGGGCTCATGACCGGTTGCATGTTCTTGTCAGGGCACTGTGTTGTATCTTTGAGCAAGATACTTTACCTCACTTGTTCCAGTCTACTCAGCTGTAAATGAGTATGTGGTTGGGTAGTGCTAGAATTGTAGAATGCTAGATGTGAGGGCCGAAATGGCAGCACCGGCTGTATGCTCCCCAGGGAGTTGAGAAAGGTATTTGCTGGTTGCAAAGCCCCTATAACCACGGATAATACTTTGTAAACCGCTTTGAGACGACCTACGAACTAGGTTGTGATAAAGCAGTATATAAGAACCTCCTATTATTAATATTATTACACATAAGTATACTAACCCCAAATTGTGTGTCCGAGGGAGCGTCCTTGGGTGCCTGCCATACCAGTTTCACTTTACCACTGTTCTCTATGAGGGCTCGGAACACTGTAGGGGCCCCAAAGGCAGCTGTCAAACAAAACAAGGTCAATGACGTCAGTTAGAACATGTAATTGACACCTGTAATAAGAACATTTGTATTGCATCTCAGGTAATTATCAATTTGAACAGGCAACTGACATCCGTAATAAACTACAGAACTGTTGTAATGTATGACAGGTAATTGACAGCTAGAACATGTTATTGACACCTGTAATATATTACACATAATGAACAGTTGTAATGTTTCACAGGTAATTAACATCAAAGGTAATACACACTTCTATCAACAGGCTCAGAGGGCCTGTATATCTAAGCCATCGTGGAAAATGTTCTCGAGAATAGTAATTTGGAAATATTTGGAGCCTCTCTGGCTTTGGAATGTTCCAGACCAAATGGAATGTTATACTACTCTATTCTAGCATGCTGCTGGTCAAACATCATCACCCAGGGCCTGCTGGTCTAACATCATCACCCAGGGCCTGCTGGTCAAACATCATCACCCAGGGCCTGCTGGTCTAACATCATCCCCCAGGGCCTGCTGGTCCAACCTCATCACCCAGGGCCTGCTGGTCCAACCTCATCACCCAGGGCCTGCTGGGCAAACATCATCACCCCGGGCCTGCTGAGAAAACATCACCCAGGGCCTACTGGTCAAACATCATCCCCCAGGGCCTGCTGGTCCAACATCATCGCCCAGGGCCTGCTGGTCAAACATCATCACCCAGGGCCTGCTGGTAAAACATCATCACGCAGGGCCTGCTGGTCAGGTCAAACATCATCACCCAGGGCCGGCTGGTCAAACATCATCACCCAGGGCCGGCTGGTCCAACATCATCACCCAGGTCCTGCCGGTCAAACATCATCACCCAGGGCCGGCTGGTCAAACATCATCACCCAGGGCCGGCTGGTCAAACATCATCCCCCAGGGCCGGCTGGTCAAACATCATCGCCCAGGGCCGGCTGGTCAAACATCACCACCCAGGGCCTGCTGGTCAAACACCATCACCCAGGGCCTGCTGGTCAAACAGCACCCAGGGCCTACTGGTCAAACATCATCACCCATGGCCTGCTGGTCCAACATCATCACCCAGGGCCTGCTGGTCCGACATCATCACCCAGGGCTTGCTGGTCAAACATCATCACCCAGGGCCTGCTGGTAAAACATCATCAAGCAGGGCCTGCTGGTCAGGTCAAACATCATCATCACCCAGGGCCGGCTGGTCAAACATCATCACCCAGGGCCTGCTGGTCAAACATCATCACCCAGGGCCTGCTGGTCAAACATCATCACGCAGGGCCTGCTGATCAAACATCATCACCCAGGGCCGGCTGGTCACTGTGATTTCATGCCATAGAGCTAAATGTGGTTAACGTAGAGTTGTAACCAGTTCCTTTCAAACTAAAACTGTAGCCTATTTTTTGTTAATTACCTTCCATAACATCCTGAATAAAGACCCAGCAAAAAACAAACACTTCGCAACTGAAACAATAATAATTTATTTAAACTATTCTACTTACGGATTTTGAAGATGCAGGGCTCTGAACTACTGGCATTTAAGAAATTGGAACGGACAGTCAAATTGTAGGTGGCGCCACGCTTTAGGTCAGTGAAATTCATTGATGTTGACCGCATCAGGAAGGCATTTGAGAGGCTGGTGTTAACCTCAAAGATGTACACAGTGTAGTTCTGTAGACCACAAAACACAATGGTTATCGTAAGTCATTAAATCTGCAGACCACCAAACACAATGGTTATCTGATGTCATTAAATATATAAAGATGTACACAGTGTTGTTCTGTAGACCACCAAACACAATGGTTATCTGATGTCATCAAATATATAAAGATGTACACAGTGTTGTTCTGTAGACCACCAAACACAATGGTTATCTGAGGTCATTAAATATATAAAGATGTACACAGTGTTGTTCTGTAGACCACCAAACACAATGGTTATCTGATGTCATTAAATATATAAAGATGTACACAGTGTTGTTCTGTAGACCACCAAACACAATGGTTATCTGATGTCATTAAATATATAAAGATGTACACAGTGTTGTTCTGTAGACCACCAAACACAATGGTTATCTGATGTCATTAAATATATAAAGATGTACACAGTGTTGTTCTGTAGACCACCAAACACAATGGTTATCTGATGTCATTAAATATATAAAGATGTACACAGTGTTGTTCTGTAGACCACCAAACACAATGGTTATCTGATGTCATTAAATATATAAAGATGTACACAGTGTTGTTCTGTAGACCACCAAACACAATGGTTATCTGATGTCATTAAATATATAAAGATGTACACAGTGTTGTTCTGTAGACCACCAAACACAATGGTTATCTGATGTCATTAAATATATAAAGATGTACACAGTGTTGTTCTGTAGACCACCAAACACAATGGTTATCTGATGTCATTAAATATATAAAGATGTACACAGTGTTGTTCTGTAGACCACCAAACACAATGGTTATCTGATGTCATTAAATATATAAAGATGTACACAGTGTTGTTCTGTAGACCACCAAACACAATGGTTATCTGATGTCATTAAATATATAAAGATGTACACAGTGTTGTTCTGTAGACCACCAAACACAATGGTTATCTGATGTCATTAAATATATAAAGATGTACACAGTGTTGTTCTGTAGACCACCAAACACAATGGTTATCTGATGTCATTAAATATATAAAGATGTACACAGTGTTGTTCTGTAGACCACCAAACACAATGGTTATCTGATGTCATTAAATATATAAAGATGTACACAGTGTTGTTCTGTAGACCACCAAACACAATGGTTATCTGATGTCATTAAATATATAAAGATGTACACAGTGTTGTTCTGTAGACCACCAAACACAATGGTTATCTGATGTCATTAAATATATAAAGATGTACACAGTGTTGTTCTGTAGACCACCAAACACAATGGTTATCTGATGTCATTAAATATATAAAGATGTACACAGTGTTGTTCTGTAGACCACCAAACACAATGGTTATCTGATGTCATTAAATATATAAAGATGTACACAGTGTTGTTCTGTAGACCACCAAACACAATGGTTATCTGATGTCATTAAATATATAAAGATGTACACAGTGTTGTTCTGTAGACCACCAAACACAATGGTTATCTGATGTCATTAAATATATAAAGATGTACACAGTGTTGTTCTGTAGACCACCAAACACAATGGTTATCTGATGTCATTAAATATATAAAGATGTACACAGTGTTGTTCTGTAGACCACCAAACACAATGGTTATCTGATGTCATTAAATATATAAAGATGTACACAGTGTTGTTCTGTAGACCACCAAACACAATGGTTATCTGATGTCATTAAATATATAAAGATGTACACAGTGTTGTTCTGTAGACCACCAAACACAATGGTTATCTGATGTCATTAAATATATAAAGATGTACACAGTGTTGTTCTGTAGACCACCAAACACAATGGTTATCTGATGTCATTAAATATATAAAGATGTACACAGTGTTGTTCTGTAGACCACCAAACACAATGGTTATCTGATGTCATTAAATATATAAAGATGTACACAGTGTTGTTCTGTAGACCACCAAACACAATGGTTATCTGATGTCATTAAATATATAAAGATGTACACAGTGTTGTTCTGTAGACCACCAAACACAATGGTTATCTGATGTCATTAAATATATAAAGATGTACACAGTGTTGTTCTGTAGACCACCAAACACAATGGTTATCTGATGTCATTAAATATATAAAGATGTACACAGTGTTGTTCTGTAGACCACCAAACACAATGGTTATCTGATGTCATTAAATATATAAAGATGTACACAGTGTTGTTCTGTAGACCACCAAACACAATGGTTATCTGATGTCATTAAATATATAAAGATGTACACAGTGTTGTTCTGTAGACCACCAAACACAATGGTTATCTGATGTCATTAAATATATAAAGATGTACACAGTGTAGTTCTGTAGACCACCAAACACAATGGTTATCTGAGGTCATTAAATATATAAAGATGTACACAGTATAGTTCTGTAGACCACCAAACACAATGGTTATCTGATGTCATTAAATATATAAAGATGTACACAGTGT